CAGCCACGCGCCCGTCATCGCCGACGTGTCGCACCACGACGAGCTTGCGCAGCGCCGCGTTGGGCACCTTGATAGCGTCCTCCACCGTCGCCCGGTACGGCGCGTCCTGCAGGATCGCCGCGACGTTGTACGAGCCAGCGACGCACGTGCGCATCCAGTGCGGCACCGCGCCGCAGTCGGCGGACGTCTTGCTATGGCGGCTGTCTGTCTTGAGCGCCTTCGCCACGCGCTTCTCCTCCTCCATGAGGTCCGGCAGCAGCGTGCACGGGCTGCCCTCGCACTTGATCTCCGCCACCACCGCCGCAGCGACGTTCATGCGGGGCTGCAGCATGCACACAAGCTTTAGCTTCTCCTTCACCTCGACGTCAAGCTGCTTCTGGAAGGTGGTCACAACCTCCTTCTTCGCCGCAAGCTCCTCCGCCTGCTTCCTCTTCAGCTCATCAAACCGCTCTCGGTTACGTTGCTGCAGGCGCTGCTCCTCCTTCTTGAGGCGGTCCTCGTCACGCTTGTGGACAATCTGCTGGCGAAACATCCGCTCCTGGTGGGTGAAAAGCTCGCGCTCCGACTGCTCTTGCAGCAGCAGCTGGAGAAGGAGGTGCGTCTTCGGCAAGACGCGCAACGCCGGGATTTCCTCACGCTTGCGAAGCACATCCTTGAGCTGCTTCATCGTATCAAAGGAATACTGCGAGCTGCTGGTTGAGCCCAGCTCCGTCAACCGCCCAGTAGCGGAGAAACGACACCCACCGTTCGTCAGCGCCTGTGATGGCCGCTCCTGGGAAACACTGCCGTTTTCGGGCGTCATATTACTGCCGTTGCGCGATTCCATGGAAATGACTGCTGTTGGGGCTTGCGTCTGCTGCTAGGGACGTTGCTTATTCAGTATTGTTAGCTCGTGTGCTTTACCTTTCAGTGGGAAAACAGCGCCAAGGCCCCCCACAGACACAACAAGGAGAGAAGCACAAACCCGCTCATAAAGAACATGCGTGCAACCACGCTTTCAGAGAAGGCGCAATACGCCACCACAACGAACTGCAAACCACCACCCCGAAAGAAGAACAAAAAACACGGCTATATTAGCCGCCGAATACTACATATCCCGCACGGTCACACCCGCAAGTATAACCCCAC